GGGGGGGTCGGATCAGGTCGACATTCAAGACAATGACCAGAAGCGGTTTTCTTTCGAATAAGGGTTTGATAAGATATTTTTTTAATCACTCCTTTCCCAAAATTATTAAGCATACTTTTGCCCTATGCGGAATAACAGGTGAATCGCTGGACTGGTGGGCAACTTAAAGAGCATAACACTGCATGGGTAAATGAGTGGTAAAACAAAACCACTTTCTAAAACCATTGGGTAAAAAGAGGCAAGTCCACCTATAACAGAGCCTGAAAGTTGACCCCTGATGGTGCGCTTCCGGAACACTTGAATAGGAGAAATAACGAGCAAAGATGTTATAACTAGCTGTTTCGGCAACTCCCGAAACATGTATTGCTTTTCTTTTTCTTTTTTTTTTTTTTTGCTGTTTGGCAACAGCCAGAACAGCTCTTGCTTTTCTGATTAGCTGTTTTAGCATACCTGCCGAAGCAGGTATTGCTTTTCTGATTTTTTTAAAACTGTTCCAGCTGTTGCAGGAACAGCTTTTGCTTTTCTGAATATTAGCAGTTTCGTCAACTCTACCGAAACAGTATTGTTTTTCTCATTATTTTTAGTTGTTTCAGCAACTTTGCCGAAACAAGTATTGTTTTTCTGATTACTAGCTGTTTCGGCACCAGACCTTTGGACCATCATTCAAGGACGGTCCACGAAGAAATTCACAGTGATAACTTATGTAGTTTATTTATTATTGATTTTTTAAGAATTAATTTTTCCCCATAGACTTTGTACAGGCACTGTCCTATATTAGGCTATGAGGGCGCTATTGCAGAATTACGGTTACAACTGCCTGGGCTTTCATTTTCAACAAACTGTCCTATATTGAAGCATGGATGGCACAACGTAGGGTTTGTACACACATTGTCCAGCGTAATGTGTGAGCAGTCCTCTACCTCGACCGAAAATTACTACCGAAAAAGAAATCAGACTAAATTTTCCCTTCCGTTCGATCGCAAATATACCCAAGTGTGCAAACGTTTTTCTACTTAATACAAGTGAACAAATAGTCTGTAACTTTGGTGCAAGATTACTATCAGAACGAAAGAGAAATCGGCTGCTTTACGCTGTGTTATTTTATTTGAAATATGCCTAAGAGTCGGAATATGAAGTAATATTTCATTTAAAGTGTTCAGTGTAAGTGCAAATCACGTGACATGGACTTAAAGGAGCAGTGTTTCCGCAAATGAGTTTTTTGCCCCAGACTTTGTACACGTTTTCAAGGTTCAATTTTAAAACTTTTCCGATGTTTGATGGTTATCAAAGTGACAGCCAACAAAGACCGTCATACAAAATTATTGTAAGTAAAGGACGTCATGATGATGCTATCTTGTCATTTATTCGTGATTTTTCAATATTTATTTTAGCCCATTGACTTTGTACACGTTTTCAAGCAAGCATTTGGGTAAGTTTGAGAGCTTTGATCAACTTCAAAGTTCAAGCCAACACAGACCTTGATGCCAGAATACGTCCAAATTTATGACGTCGTGATGACGTCATCATGTGATTTATTATTGATTTTTGAATATTTAGTTCAGCCCATTGACTTAGTACACGTTTTTGAGCCACTATTTTCGTACCTTAGTAATCGTTGATCATCGTCGAACTTACACCAGGCACTAACTATACAACGAAGATAATTCTAAAATATTTATGTCAAGATGACGTCATCACGTGATTTGTTATTAAATTGTGAATACTTAAATATTCCATTAAATGTATAAAATCTCGTATAAAATCAACCGTGACCTCCCGTAACATTCTGTTTGCAGCAAGTGCCAGGATAAAATGTGGTCTTGATTTCGTCTCGTGTAGGTCAAATGACATAACCATTCCTTCCGGTTTAAACCGGAGGTAGGCTTATTGTTTGAAAGTGGTAAAGGCCGTAAGGTTTTTTTCAACATAAGGGTCGCTGTCGGTGTTAATGCTGGGTTGAAACCTTGCCTATATCTTGGAGAGGAAGTGCTTTGAGGAAATATTGAGCTCATTTAGTGATAACGTCATAAATAATTGCTTTTTTTCATGACGGACATTATCGGCATTATCAACATGTCAAATGTTATTTAATTCTACCTCGGTTCTACTTTTGCGTTGAT